GATCCAAGTAAAATAAAATCCTTGACAACTTCAATCTTTTCTCCAGTTATCATGCATGATGTTGCTTATTGGTTCAGTTGTGAGGATTTTTGTTTTCTTTACTTGATATGTAATCCACCCTGAAAGTTGTAAGATTTACAACCTTGGAAACCCTATATGGCAGTCCTACTCTGTCCTATTTAGGGTCACTATGAGTTGGAATTGACTTAATGGCAATGGGTTTGGTTTTTTATTGATAATAAAGGTTTTCCCTTATTAACTTATACTTTGGACACATCATCAGGAAAGATCAATTGCCAGAAAAGGACATCATGTTTGGTAAAGTAGTAGTTGTCATTGTTAGTTGCTGCCTCGTCAATTCTGACTCGTGGTGACCCCATGTGTGCAGAGCAGAATTGCTCCACAGGGTTTTCTTGGCAGTGAGTTTTTGCAAGCAGATTGCCAGGCCTGTCTTCTGTGGCGCCTCTGGGTGGGTTCGAAAGACCAATATTTTGGCTAGTAGTCAAGTGCTTAACCATTTGTGCCATCCAGGGACTCCGTGGTAAAGTAGAGGGCCAATGAAAATGAGAGAAATCCTCAGTGAGATGGACTGACACAACAGCTGCAACAATGGACTCAAATATACCAATAACCATGAAGATTGCACAGGGACGAGCCACATTTCTTTCTGTCATATATGGGGTCGCCATAAGCTGGAGCTGACTTCATGGCAACTAATAACAATAACAATGTTAAAACGTAAAATGGTTAAAAGGAGGCCTGTCTCCTTAATGAAAAGAAAAGACAATTTGTGTGTGTGAAGCTAAGATTAAAGAATACACTCTACTCTTGCAGAAGCAGAATTCTTGAGGACACTTGCCACAATGAAAATAAAACTTACTTATTAAGTTCTATGGTTTCATAAAAATGGTTTTACTACGATTTTTAAAACATCCTGAAATCTTTAGTCGGGTATTTCAAAATTTAGATTGATTAGCTCCATATTTAGGGAGAGAAAAATCCTATTAGTCAAGCCCGAAAGACTTGCAGCATTTCTAATCAAAGTTTATTTGCTTAGCAGGATTTCAAGTAATGGCTAGCATATAATAGCTTCAACTGGCTTTAAATAAAATTCTGATCATCGTCTCGTAGCAATTATTGCCTAGGAAGAAAATTATTTATTGAAAGGCCTAACAGGCAATGGCTAAATATATTCTGCTGTGAACAGATACTGCAGTGCAAACAGGCAGCTGCTTCTTTAAGCATGGATGTTTATTGTGTTGAATGTAAGTGTATGTAAATACCTCAATTTTAACATTTTATTACTGTTCAAACAGTTTGCCAAGCAATATCCAATAAATAATTTAAATCTTTTGCAGGATCATTTCTTTCAGTGTTCTATTATTTATAATTCGGTGCTCTTGACACCACTGCTTCTGCCAGATAGAAAGACTAGGTCTGTCGTGGATTGAATTATGTCCCCCTAAAAATGTGTGTATCAATTTGGCTGGGCCATGATTCCCAGTATTGTGTGGTTGTCCTCCATTTTGTGATTGTAATTTTATGTTAAAGAGGATTAGAGTGGGATTGTAACACCTTACTAAGGTCACAACCCTGATCCAATGTAAAGGGAGTTTCCCTGGGGTGTGGCCTGCATCACCTTTCATTTTACAAGAGATAAAAGGAAAGGAAAGCAAGCAGAGAGTTGGGGACCTCATACCACCAAGAAAGAAGGATCGGGAGCAGTGAGTGTTCTTTGGACCTAGGGCTCCTGCGTGGAGAAGCTCCTAGTCCAGGAGAAGATTGATGAGAAGGACCTTCCTCCAGAGCCAACAGAGAAAGAAAGACTTCCTCTGCAGCCTACTAGACTGTGAGAAAGTAAAGTTCTCTTTGTTAAAGCCATCCACTCGTGGTATTTCTGTTATAGCAGCACTACATGACTAAGACAAGGTCTAATCTAAAATCTGGTAGATTTTTTAAAATATCATGCTTTGCTTTTTAAAATATTGCTAAACTGGTTCTCTTGAATGCTTGTTTACAAAACATCCTAGTGTGGAAACACTTAGAGAGGAGTTCATAAAAGATGTTATCCTCCTCCTAATTTTGTATTTTTTCTCAGCACACTCATTTACTCTCATGCATTTGCTAACAGGCAGTAAAGAGAACTCAACAAAAAATGCTTGTGTGCTAGTGGGGCTCACTGTATGAGGTGGCACTTCTTGCTGAACTCTGTATTGTGTCCTCTGGAGAATTACAAAGGAAGTTATTGCACTTAAGTCACTGTTTCATTCCATTCATGCAGAAATATCTAACCTAATTTAAAAAAAAGGATTTGAGAAGAATACAAGTGGAGACACACTTTTCACTCTTACACTCTCATCATCTACTCCATCCTCCAGTGCTCGGAGCCCTTGCTGCTCATGTAGAAAGTTTCTAAAATGTGGATACACTTATCAGGGACATCACTTTGAATATTTAACAGCCAATAAGGACCAGGCAGCATTTCGTTCCATTGTGCATGGAGTCACCATGAGTCGCTGGCCGACTCAATAGTAGCTAACAACAACGATGCCCAGGAGCCAGCCATTCAGAACAGGGCTCTGGCCCATTGCTATGGTTGCTGGCTTAGCATCAAAGTGGCTGTGTCTGTGGAGGTCAGCTGAATGTCAAACCCATGCATGAAGATGTTTAAGGCTTAGTATAGCACCTGACATCCCGTAGAAATTCAAAGGGATTTGCTAAACATATGACTAAGTGAATGGAGGAAGTGCCTGGACTCACACAGGATGGCTATTGTACTAGAAAGTTCATCAGGCTTGGGCCTACAAGAGCCTTGGAGGAAGAGTGGAAAGGGAATAATAGAAGAGATAAACAGAACACCTTGAGGTTAAACCAGAGCTCTGGTGGCATAGTGGTTAAGAGCTCGGCTGCTAAACCAAAAGGTCGGCAGTTAAAATCAACCGGCCGCTCCTTGGAAACCATATGGGGAAGTTCTACTCTGTCCTATAGACTTGCTACGAGTCAGAATTGACTAGATGGTAATGGGTTTGGCTTGGTTTTGAGGTTAAACCAGGTTAGTTGGACTAAAAACCAGATATCCAAACTACCAGAGCCAATAGAATTCAAGCTTTCATGGCTTACCTGCTGGACAACCATGAGTAGTGGTGAAGACAAAAATTACTAATGCTCTTTGAGGTGTATGTATTTTGGCACATTTTATATTAGCTTCAGGTAGTAAGGTCACCTTCCGTTAGATGTGCATCATCGATGCTGTGTTAAAACAGAAGTCACCACAGTCCTAAAGGTTTCCAGGCATCCACACATTCCTGCCAGTAGGGATACTTAGAATGAGAAGCAACTCTGTCCACAGCAGTAACTTCTTCCTCGTTGGAACATTTGCTTCGATGTCTGCTGCCGATTTCCTTTTCTAGAGTGGTAGCTTGGTCAAGGTGCTTGTTGTTTTTCAACAGAACCCAGATGGCAACTCCAGAAACCATGAACTTCACCCTGTCCAAATTTTCTAACAACATGTTTTTTTTTGAAAAAGGGGAAATTCATGCCAGAAGTCCAGCCCACCTCAATAAGGTCCTACAGAGCGTGAACGAGTCATGACAATGACCTTCCTGTTGCTGTCGAGTTGATTCTGAGTCATAGCGACCCTGTAGGACCCATAGGGTTTCCAAAGCTGTAAATCTTTACAGAAGCATGACCTTTTGGTTAGCAGCTGAGCACTTAACCACTGCTTTTCTTGAGCCTTGGCTCAAGAAAGAACAAACATTTATGACTCTCTGGCTTAAGTAGTGTATTGTGTTAAATAAACAAATTCACATATTCTTCATCAGCATAGATACAAGGAAATTCTAAGTTGAGACTGAAGGTCAGTGGAATCATGGATATTTTAAGAAAAGATCCTTTTTTGAGAGTCAACTTTGCAATCCATTTGGCAAATACTTGCTCAAAGGGGTTACTTGGATGAACCCCAAAACAAATAACACCTAGGACAGCAATGAGCATAATGACATTATAGTAAGTTGAAATCCTGTACCGCAACCACTTATATCACTGGCACTCCAACAAGTGAAACTACACATTTCAAAAGAAAAGGTTGGCAGCTAAGAGCTACCATTTACTGCACCCACACAAGGAAGGTGTGTGCTAAGTGCCTGACATATTCTCACTCATCAGATCCTCATGGCTCTATGAGGTGGTTATTATTATTATCTCCATCTTACGAAACTCAGAACTTCTATGGTCACAGAAAGGCTTTCTTTCCTGCTTAGTTTTGTAAACTTCCTTAATATGCAATAATATAACCTTCTGACTTTTAATAGTATAAATATTTTATTCTAGAAATTAACTGTAATTACCTTAAGCTCTCTGCTGTGAGCCACACTATAAACCAGAATTTATACCTTATTACCAATACCTCTAATCTGCACGAGTCAGAATCGACTTGACAACTACTAACAATAACAACCAATACCTTGCACACCTTGTCCTTGTATCAGTTAGTATGAATGTTATTCTAAGGATAATCCATGGGTATGGTAAGATGCTCAAACCCAAACCAAACCCATTGCCACCAAGTTGATTCCGATCCACAGCGACCATAGAGGACAGAGCAGAGCTGTCCCATAGGGTTTTCAAGGAGCAGCTGGTGGATTTGAACTGCCGACCTTTTGGTTAGCAGCTGTATCACTTAACCAGTGCGCCACAAGGGCTCCGTAAGATGCCCAACTACTTCTAAATCAACTGGCAAAGACTGAAATATGATAGTAGAATTTTAGTTAGCTTTATGTCTATTGGAGTTTAACTATTTAATATGATCAATACACGTGCTTTACATTTGACACCACTTTATTCACTTGTTTATTCATTCACAAACACATAATGAGGCCCCCTGTGATGTTAGTACTCTGATGAAAGGGCATGCGCCATAATACTTAGCACATGTGCTACCATGCTGGATAGTGGCACACTGATCTTGAGAATTAACCATGGTGTTAACAATGGCCTCTAACCTGTGACCAGCTCCCGGATCTCGAGGTCCGTGGTCTTGCGGAGCAGCCTCACCAGCGCTGGGATGCCACCGCAGTTTTTCAGGGCAATTTTGTTATCATCATTGGCCTTCCCATACACCAAGTTCCTCAGAGCTCCACAGGCACTACGGTGGACTTCCGTCATCCGATGATCCAGCAGGTCCACAAGGAGCTGTATGCCTCCTTGTCGCCTTATCTGAAAGAGCAGAGACATCACTTTTGCTTTAGAGAAAAAGCATGAACAAATCAGTCTTAGAAGAAATACAACCTGAATGCTCCTTAGAAGCAAGGATGGCGAGACTTTGGTTCACTTACTTTGGATACATCATCAAGAAAGACCAATCGCTAGCAAAAGGATATCATGTCTGGTGAAGTCGAGGGTCAGTGAAAACGAGGAGAAACCCTCAATGAGTTATACCGACAGAATAGCCGTAACAATGGACTCGAGCATTCCAGTGATCATAAAGATGCTGGGGGACCAGCAACGTGTTGGTCTGTGATACACCAGGTTGTCACGAGTCGAAGTGGACTTGAAGCAACTAACAACAACAACATCTAAAGTAAAACGTATTTTTCATATACAGTATTTGCTACAATTAATTGCACCGAGTTGAATTACGGGATAGAAAGGAAAAAGAAAACAAATGAGTGTTCTCTTCAGCTTTCATTGCCTTTACTTGCTTTAATAGCCTACCAATAAAAATTCAAATATGTTTTCTTTCAAGCTACGGAATTTTGGAAGGGTGAGTTTAACTTTATGATGGGTGTCTTAGACATTTCTCTCTGTAAAAATACACTGCATACCTATGGCATGAACTGGATGGAGGAGCAAAAGGCATTACTGTCTCTCATTCCTTAGATTTATTAAATTTAACTAGTGTCTTAAAGGTCTGCAGGATTGATGTACAAAATGTTAAAATTATGCTTAATAGGGAAACACTTCAAACATTTCAAAGGGACTTAGAAGCTAAATGAGAAACCAGAAGAATTGATATAAGGATGTGCATCCGTGAAGATCTGGGAAAAGAAGAAAGTCACTCACAATGAGAGTCAGTTGAAATATTAAGACTAAGGCATGTTATACGCTTATTTGATTGACAACAAAAAAATATTAAAATTTAGTTTTTAGACATTTGTATTACAAGTGAATGAAAAAAAATTGCAGTATGTTTCCAGATGCATGTCTTCCCTACTGTCCTCTGAATTTTAGATCAATTTTAAAATTTAAGCTGGAAACAAACAAAAAAAAGTGGCTAGTTAGCATACAAATTCAACGAGTTTTCAACAGCATAGTTGCATTCGAATATTTCTGTATTTTATATGAAAACACAACACGATTCATTTTGTAATATTCTTTTTTTTTTAAATAACTTAAGCATTTCCAGGAATTGAAGGATTGTAATTTGGCACCCTCTCTTGTGAATTTTCTTTTTACAGAACACTCACTTATCCCACAGATAGGCCAGGGCACATGGATAAACCCCTCAGCTCTTTCAAAGGTGCTTAAATGACACGTTCTCTATGAGGCTACTCTAACCATACTGTTTAAAACTACAATCTCTAGGGTGACTAGAATCAAAACGTCAGATAATAACAAGTGTTGGCAAGGATACAGAGGAATCAGAACCTTCATACACTGCTGATACGAATGTCAAACGGTGGTACAGTCACTCTAAAAAACAGCCTGGCATTCCTCAAATGGTTAAACATAGAGTTACCATGTTTTTGCTGCTGTTGTTAGCTGCCCTCAAGTCGATTCTGACTCACGGTGACCCCACGTGTGCAAAGTAGAACTGCTCCACAAAATTTTCAAGGCTGTGACCTTTCGGAAGCAGACCGCCAGGCCTGTCTTTGGAGGCATCTCCAGGTGGGTTCGAACTGCCAGTCTTTCGGCCAGTAGTCAAGTGCTTAACCATTTGTACCAGGTGGAGAGACCTTAGAGTTATCATATAACTCAGAAATTCCAAGAGAAATACCCAAAGAGAAAATACCCAAAAAGAAATACCCAAATAGAAATACCCAAGAGAAAATGAAAACATATGTCCATACCAAAAGATGTAAACGAATGTTTATAGCTGTGCTATTTACAACAGCCAAAAGGTGAAAACAACCATAATGTCCATCAGCTGAGACTAACCAAAAAAACCAAACCCATCGCCATTGACTCAATTCCAGCTCGTAGTGACCCCATAGGACAGAGTAGAACTGCCCCATAGAACTGATGACTGGATAAATAAAATGTGGTATACCCATACAGTGGAATACTATTCAGCCATAAAAAGGAACGGAGCGCTGATACATGCTACAACATGAAAGAACCTTGAAAACAATATGCTAAGTGAAAGAAGCCAAATGCAACATAACATATATTGTATGATTCCAGTTATAAAAAATATCCAGAACAATTAAATCCATAGAGTCAGAAAGTAGAGAAGTGATTGCTTAGGGCTGGGGAGGATGGGAGCTAGGGGGATTAATAGGTAAAGGGTATGGAATTTCTTTCTGAGGTGATGAAAATTGTTCTAAATTTGACTGTGGTGAAGGTTGCACCATCTGTGAAAATACCAGAACTTTAAATTGTAACTTTAAATGGGAAAAGTCTATGGTATGTGAACTCTATCTCAATAAAGCTGTTAAAAAAAATAACAGTCTGAACCAAAGCTATTTCCCAATCTAGCATTCTTGTTTTACATTAACTTGTCACAGAATTCCTCCATGGAAAGTAGCACCTTCTAACTTACTTATCATGTTTTTTGTTATGTCTATCTTTCATTCTAGGATACGTATGCTGCGAGGGCAATCTCCTTGTTTTTTCACCGATATATTCCTATCCCAAGTGCCTATAGCAATGCCTGGAACACAGTAGAAGTATTTGTTTAATGAATGTGTTTGTTGAATATGTATTTGTTGGCTGAATGGGGAAGGATAATTCATAACCTACCACAGTAATGTCTCTCAGATTTGCTAAAACAGTGCTTTTCAAAACTGAGTAATATCCCTCTTGAATGAAAAAAATAATCCTTTTGCGAACAGAGAGAATGTATACAGGGGCTTCGATGACTCTTCCTATACCAACTTACACACATAATGAGTCATTCACACTTGGCGGACATCTAGATGACTCAGAATATGCTTACAGGAATTATTTTCAACTATTAACAAAATGTAAGCCTAAGAAGTTGAAATCTCATAGAACTCATGGACCCTTAATCCCTAATTTGCAAAACAGGAATATGCGTATCCTCTATTGCACCTCCTGGGAGACCTGGACCAGGAGAGGAAGAGGGGGAGGACTCAGAGGAGGGACAGGGTTTGTAGCAGGGCGTTAGCTTTCTGTAAAGGAACTCTGGTGGCACAGTGATTAAGCGCTTAGCTGCTTATCGAAAGGTTGGTGGATCGAACCCACTAGCCGCTTAGCAAGAGAAAGACATGGCAGTCTGCTTCGGTAAAGATTACACCTTGGAAACACTATGGGGCAGGTCTACTCTGTCCTATAAGGTATGAGTCAGAATCAACTCTACGGCAATGGGTTTGGGTTTTAGCTTCCTGTCGTGCCTGTATAGCCCAGGGGCGGCTAGGGCACCTGGAAGGAGATGGCTAAAGGGATTATCGGGTCAACTAAAAAAAGGATCAGAAAACAATTCTGTCCAACTTTACAGTTTTACCTAGGGCCTGCCTGGAACTCACCCCAGAGAGATGAAGTTTGTGTCTTGTATATAGAAATCTGAATTATAACAACATCCACTTTATTATAATACTTCAGAAGGGATAGTCCATTCATATGAAAAGCTTAAGACATGAGTGTCCTTTCTGCTATGTGTGTGTATTTGCTTTAAAATTCTCAGGATTTAGTTTTCTGAATAACGATGAAGCCATTAAAAAAGACAGATAATAAATCCATCCTTACAGTGAACCTGTCAGTTATACATTAAAAGTGGATGGTATTGTAAATCTATCTGTCCACCAACTTACTTACCTATCTACTGATCTACCAATCCATCTAGTCTGTTCTATCTATATCTATATATTTTAGCTATACTGTAAAATTGAACAAATACTTCTAATTTATGATAACATAAATAATATATGCCATTCATACATACTTAATGAACTAAGCTATTAAAATATTATTCCGGAACATTCAAAGGGAAAATAAAATGACCGCAAAATGACTTCTTAATGGTATAATGAGAACACAAGTTATTTGTTGCGAGCCTAAGTAATGTGATATGCCCGAATTTATAATAAGATCTTAGGTTCTATTTTAATCTATTTAGAGAAACACAAATATGACAACAAAACATTTTCTTTTTCTGTTGTTTTTGAAGCCACCAGATCATTTATATTAAAAACTTTTAGGTTCTTGGGGTTGAATTCTATCAAGTAACGTGAGACTCCTTCAGTATTCTAACCAAAGATCGGGCAGAGTTGAGTTTTAAACATTTATACATGTGAACTGTGATGATCAGGTCCTTGGCTCATTCTCCTTCTCCCAGCATCCCTCAACAGGACTAGACCGGAAGATGTGAGACGGACTTTCACTTCTCTTATGCAGGGTCTTTATTTCACTGCTGGAGTCCCTGGGTGGTGCAAACAGTTAATGTGTTCAGGTGCTAAACAAAAGGTTGGAGGTTTGAATCCACCCAGAGGCAGCTCAAAACAAAAGCCCTGGTGATTGACTTCTAAAAAATCAGCCATTGAAAATCCTATGGAACATAGTTCTACTCTGACACGCGTGGGGCTGACATGACTTGGAATCTACTTGACAGCAACTGGCTTTATTTCACTGCAGGACCTCTGGGTGGCTGTGGAATGTGTCCGAATGCTGTCCTCTACACTTCCCCTCTGCAGTGCTTTTCTCCTGGATCCTGCTTGCTCCCCAGCACCTCTAGTGTCTTCTTGTATCCAATCTTAAACCAATCTAAGCCTTCAAACCAGTATTTTTTAAGCATTAGTAAAGTAAACCTTCTAGCTGAAAAAATACCAGGGGAAACTATCTTCATTGAAATGGTGCCTTTTCCCCCTCTCCCTCTAAGTGAGAGAGCTCCACTTCCCACTTCTCCTCCCCATTGATCCCTCTATGTCCAACAGGCAGCACCCTTGTTCTGGTCCACGCACTGTCATTTCTGATTTGTTTACCCTCTCACCTTACTCCCTTACTCATCGTCGTGCGGAATGAGCCAAAACTCAGATCTT